AGATGCATGTAACTTACAGGGCATTCACTAGTTTAAAATGCATGCATTTTCCAAAAGCACAGTTTTCTTTTTGCCCTTATTAAGGTTTTTACGCCATCAAAAAATGTGTAGTATTTATTTGGCTTGGTTTATGGCATTTTAGTTCAGAGTAGAGTTGATAATTAGATCACAGGCAAAAAGGAAGGCTGACCATGTTTGCCCCCCTGGCAGGATGGTGCCTGTGTGTGGTTGGACAGGCAGCTGTCCTGGCCTTGCTGGTTATTCTGCTGCCACACCCATCGCATCCTTTTACTCCAGCTTTGTAGACTAACCACAGGAGCAAGTACTTTCTATTTTTGCCATTTACTAGCACACCTGCCCAGGGAACACTGCTGTGCTGAGTCCTGGGCTGTGTTTGGAAGGGCCACAAGCAACGCGTCAGCTGTCCACATGAACTTGCCTGCCCTCATTTTGTGGCAGCACTCCCCGTAACTTTAAATAATGTGTAGGAGTTTGAAGGGACTTTTCATATGGCTGGGACAGAAAGAAACACATTGAACATAGCAAGAGTACTAAAAGCTCAGGATGCCATAAGCTCAAGAATGGAATGGGCAGGTATGTGTAATGGTATGTCTAAAGAAACTCCTGCATTCTCCTTTTAAAATTCCAGTAAGTATTCCTGTTCTGATACTTGTCTTCACATTCCCCTGTGGAGCTTGCCTCAAAGTGATTAATTACTCCATTTTCTTTTTCAATTTCACTCTATTTAAAAAAAAAAACCCTACATTCCACAGACAAGGGATAACTGTTGTCTTGTTAGTATGAGCCATGTCACTGAAGATTTAGTGTGCAGTCATAGTACACTCATTGTCATGCCAGTAGAAGTTGATAATGCTGTATGAAGCACAGCAGGCAGCCCTTTGGGAGACCGCAGCTGCAGCATTCCTTCAGACTTCCAAAGGGCTGGATCAGCCTCTCAGGGTCAACTGGGTCACTGGCCAGTGCTAGTCCTAGAGCAGGCCAATGGTATCTCCTTACTGCTTCAGGGCACCCCAGATATCAGCAAATATACATACCATTCTATTGTATGAAACATCACCTTCAGGTCTGTTCAACATTCTAGGAATTCCAGGTGGAAGAGTAAGACAAGTAGCAGGATATGTAATGTACTGATTTCCAGCTAGCTCTCACAGTCAGAAAGACTGAGAAATGAACTATCTGCCCATTCATTGGCAAAAAGCAATCACACTCTCAGAAGGAACTGATCTCCATCAGGAAGAAATTCCAAAGGCCTCTGTCTCAGTGTGCTGCAACCTAGTTCTTTAGAATTCACTCACTTATTCCTCTGCCCAGCAACACTTTTTTAAACTTGGGCACTTAGGTGGATAAAACATGTGATGACAAAGGTATATCTTTTTAGTCCTTCTGTGAAAAAAAAATACATCTGTAATTAAAATTAGCCAGTAAGGTTCCTCTGCTTGATAATGTTGCCCTTTACCTTCCACCTTCCAGCCTGGAGACTTCTTTTTCTCCTGCAGTCTGAGAAACAACTGGTATGCAGATCAGAACCAGGACTTGAATTTGTCAGGTTTCCTACAAGAAACAGGCAAGCTTTACGCACATGAAGCCAGACTTATCCTCCAGATTTTTTCAAATACATACTATATGCACTAGTGAACAATTATACCAACACAAACCCCACTGAAAATATGGGTGCCTTCACCTCTCCTTGCTTTAGACACTTAACACAAATGATTGCTCTAACATTATTAACTTTGTGCTGAACTACTGTAAACAGAAAATAAAACCAAGGGTGGGGGAAATTAAAGCAGGTATTGATAAAAAATAAGCTATATACCTGCCCCAGAATATTTGTTGTCTCCCTTGGGCTCCCGAAGCATCTAAAACCAGCTATATTGGCTCAACTGAAGAAGGTATTGCCTGTCACTGAGCTTAAGAAAACAGCAGTAGTATTTTACCGTTCAGATGCCAGATATAAAACCAGAATCAGCTTATATCAGTACCCACAATTTGGTAATTCGGACATTTGAAAACAAGCAATACTAGAAATAAGACAGAGAAGGGAAAATACTGCAGTCATGAGCAATAGATTTTAACAACCTCATTTAAAATATGACACATGAGGAAGGTATTCCGTATGTCTGCATGCTAACTGCTTGTTTTAGGTGTGGACTATGGTGTATAATCATGCTAATAGCTGTTAGCTGGATTAGAACACAGTCTGCTTGGGGACACGGTGATTTTTGTTCCTGCCAAGTGACTTTTCAAACTTTGCAATCTGCTAATAACCTGCCCCTAGAACGTAGATTATAAAGGAGAAATTGCCAGGAAATAGGAAGAGTTCAAAAATACTGAGAGCATCACTCAGGAAAATTTTCTGTGACTATTGTCTCTTTATCACAATTAAAATTCTGTGTCTGCCCCCAGGCTTTCCCACATCTGCCTCTGCTATGGACAAAAACACATTCTGAAAATACATAGAACCATTACAATATAAACTCATTTTTAATTCAGTCATTCCCAAATTTCTATCATTAAAATAAATCTATCCCCAGCATCAGATGAACATCTCTGAAGTTTGATATTTGTGTGATTGGGAAATGGGACTGAGGACGGCAGGAAAAGCAAGAGATTTCAACTGTACCATCCCATGGCCACAGAAGGATTATTCTCTTGCTGATTCTTCTCACCCAGACAAACCAGTCTAATAATTTCCAACCGGTAAAAAGTCTAAATGGAAACAGAACAAAAGTCTAAATAAATGAAATCATTAAATAAAATCAGGTTTACAGATATAAGCTGGCACTGTGGCATTGTTGAGGTAGTGCCAAGGGCTGCCTGTCAAGAATAAGGTGCTCCAACAAGTACTATGTAAATACGGTTTAAATTCACAACAGCTGCTGGTTTAAAGATATAACAAGTGACAGAGGAAATGAAGAGGGTGGAAGGAAAACAAAAAAGTAATGGTATATTATATTTAATATGGTAAGAAGTCAACATGATCTTTCTTATTTAAACCAAGTTCCCATGCTTGTCCCAAGAATTCCTAGAACAGATGTCCAATGGCACTAAAGCTCATCATTATTAATGCTTTAGGCAGCACACCAAAGCTGTACATGACTGCTTTATGTGGTGAGTAATGAAACTTCACCTCTCCGATCTGTGCAGTGACAAACAGCTCAGGTAAATAAACTGAAAAATCAGCATTTCTCTGCTGAGGCAGAGTAACATGAGTATCAAAACCCCTTACTACTGGCCAAGTACTTCATAGTAGGGTCCTTTTGCTCTCTCTCCTGCAGATCATTTTACCTGAAAGAATTTATTTCCCCAATCAAAATTGCCAACATCCACTTCAGGCTAAATGCTTATGGGCAGAGACATGCAGCACTATTGACTTCAATATTTGCAAAGTAAGTTGCTTTTCGAGGGAGGAAATTGCTGCATTTCAAAACCATTTCCTGCCTCATACATACAGAATTAAATATCAGAGAGATCTAGTTTAGACTGAATGTTCTTTCATTTTTCTGGTTTAAAGATCCAAGCCAACAGGAGTCACCCATAAGATGGTTGTTGTGCTATAAATACCTACTGATTTCTTAATCTATTTTCTCTTCCTTTTTTTTTTTTTTCTACTTCATTTCCCCCTTCTTTAGATTCCACTTAATCACATCCAATTTTTACATTCCCTCTCTCCTTTTTTAAAATCATTGATATCCAATAATAAGACAATTCCAAATAAATCACAAGACAAGCAGTTTTTTCTTCTTTCATGTTTTGGTTTCAGAATCCCTAAAAGAAGCTGATTTTTGTGATGAAATGCTTTAGCACAGCAAAGCTGAACATGTTTACAGCAATCTAGGAGAATCTTTTTGACATGATACATTACGGTTCCAGCAGCTGCCTGCAGATCAGCCTGAGCCCACTGCCAGGTCCAAAGAACTGACAGCTTTTGTGATGAACATTTCTTCTTCCATAGCATAGTTAATAACAAACATAGTAAACATTAAAAGATAATTCGTTAACTATTTTCGTCATTTTTAATACTAAAAATGTTGAGGGGTTTGTACACTAAATAACTCCAGATTAGCTATATCTACTTTCAGTAGTCGTGTTTCCACTGTTACATAAAACGTCAGTGTTTGTTAAGGTCACACATTTTTTTAAAGAAGGCACATGAATGACAATGTTTTGCTTGTCTCAAGCAGACGCTATAGATTGAAAAAAGTAATATTATCCTCACTAAATCAAGTTCTTCAAATCTTTAGCAATGTTTTCTAATGTCCTCGCCCCTGACACCGCCCTCACACCTCCCCTCACACCGCCTTCACAGCCTCACATCTCCCCTCAGCCTCACATCTCCCCTCACCCTCACAATTCCCCTTACACCCTCACACTGCCCTCAGACTGCCCCTTACACCTCCCCTCACACCCTTACACCTCCCCTCACACCTCCCCTCACACCGCCCCTCACATCTCACCTCACACCGCTCCTCACACCCTCACACTGCCCTCAGACTGCCCCTCACACTTCACCTCACATCGCGCTCACACCGCCCACAGATCGCCCCTCACACCTCCCCTCACACCGCCCTCACACCTCCCTCACCCCACCCCTCACACCGCCCTCACACCTCCCCTCACACCTCCCTCACAACTCCCCTCAGACCGCCCCTCACACTGCTCCGCCCCTCACACCCTCACACCGCCTTCGTTCCGCCTTTCACACCGCTCTGCCTCTCACACCGCTTCCCGCCCCTCACACTGCCCTCACACAGCTCTTCGCCGCTTCTCACGGCTTTCACACCGCCGTGCCTCTCTCACCTTCCCTCGCACCGCTTCCCGCCTCTCGCACCGCTCCGCCCCTCACACCGCTCCGCCTCTCTCGCCTCTCGCACCTCCCCTCACATCGCTCCGCCCTTCTCACCTCCTCTCACGCCGCTCCCCGCTCTCACGATCCCACCCCACCCCGACCGCTCCGAACCGCGCAAGGCTCTGCTGCTCGGCTCGGTGCGCGGTTTCCTGCGCTGTTCTGTGGTCCTGCCCTGCCGTGCCCCGCTTGGTTCCCAGCGCTCCCGATCCCGCCATGGCGCTGAGGAGGGGTGTCCCGCTGGGCCGGCGCTCTCCCGCAGGTAGGGGCTGGAGCCGCTCCGGCCGCGGTGTGAGGGTCTCTCCCGGCGCACCGTCCCACACAGATGCAGCTCTTCTGCAGAGACGAGCGGCCGAGTGGGACCGGGAATGGTGGAGGCGGGTCTGTGAGGCGCGGCCCGCTCGCCCCACAGGTCCCGCCGCCGCCCCACCACGGGTGCGCCTGGCGCCGCTCGGTGATCGGGAACGCGTTATTGAGGGATAACGAGAGAAATGGGTGTCCATGTTCAATGAAATATCTAAGTTTAATGTTACAGCTGTATCCCTCGCTCCCTGTAATAACGTGAAGGATTGGCTTTCCTTCCAACAAGCCCCTCCGCCCCCATGGCTCTCTGTAAAGAAGCCTTCGATCCTACTATTCCAGCCGCCGCTATGCCTCTGTGGCGGCTGTAAGGATATCGTACCGGGATTTTGAAGATGTAGTAGCGCCTGTGTTTGTTGGAGGAGCGTGTAAATGCATGCAGCGTGAGCAGCTCCTGGGCGGTCCCAGGAGCAGTGCGGAGCTGTGTCTCAAACACAGCAGTGCGTGGGCTGGGACCCGCCTGCTCTGGGGCACACGCAGAGATGCTGCAGGCTCAGCCTTGGGAGCTGGGGGACAGTCACTGCAGGCTCAGCCTTTGAAACCTGAGGAACCGTCACTACAAGGCTTTAAACCAGCTGGGGCTTCCCCTCAGTTTATTAGGAGCAGTTAGTGCCTGAGGAGCACATACTTGTGTGTCTCCATGTATCCCTAAGAACTGTTTTGTTTTCTTGAATACATTTTTTGTTTGGAGTTGGTTTTGGTTTGGTTTTTTTTACCATTCTTTTACATGAATTTAGGATTTAAATTATTATTTTTCGGCTTGTCTCTAGTCCGTTCCTGGATTTGTGTATGTGTGGCAGGAACAGTTGAGCTGTACCTGCAAGGGCTTTTAAAGCACTGCAGTCAGTGACCTGGAACAGCACTGGTCTTTCTGAACTTGCATGATAGTGAACTGCCACTTGTAGACTTGCAAGTCTGCAAGTAAGTCTTGGTGAAGTTTGTGTGACTGCAGTGGGGACCAGCTTGGCAGAGGGGTGGAGGTAGCAGAGGAAGTAATTTCAACCATGCACTTAGTCACCAAAGTTCAGGTGGGCACCTTTATTCTGACCAGTATTCAGCCAAACTGTCTTTATTTTCGCTTGGGCTTATTTTTGTGTTGTTTTCTTGTTTGGAGTTTTTTGTTGTTGTTTTGTTGTTTTGTTTTGTTTTGTTTGTTAAGAGAGGACCATAAAAGGTAATGTGCCTCCTTACTTTCTTGTTTTATTTTAGAGGTACATGGTGTTTTAAAAATAGAAATTAGTAAATATTTTGTCACTTAACTGCTAGATTACATGGCTAACCTGTCACTTATAAAAATAAAAAATTGAACTCTGTGTTAAAAATTTGACATGCCTCTCTATTGATTTGGGAAGCAAGTTACAAAACAGCTTTGTGGTGCATCCCAGATGCATCCATGTTTAACACTTCCCCCACCATGGATGTTGAGCAGGTGGGACAGCTGTTCCTAGTGGCTAGTTTCAAGTCAGAGCAGAGATGAAAAGGAGGACAGGTTATGTTTAATCACTGTAGATAATGTTTTTGGGTCTGTTGGTACTAGACACAATTCCAGATAGCCCATGTTTCAGTATCTCCTCCCATGCTGGGTATCTCTCTCCTCCTCATCTAGCTCCCCTTGTGCTTTGTGTAAAGCCTCATCGTGTTAAAATGTCTGCCTCTGCCTGGATCTCCTTGCCCTGCTAAATTAAAACTAAAACAATGCTTTTATCTGGAAATTGCCAGTCCTGCACGTGAGGGAAAGTCCCAAACCAAAAGTTGCGGGTCTAAGTTCAGTTACCTGTTTTTTTACCTAATTCCAAAATTTTAGTGGTTTTCCTGTTTGTAGTTTGACTGGTCCCTAAAAAGACAAGAGCCTAACAATCTGTGGGAGAACACTTGGAAGAACTTGTGTTGATGTTCTGGATGAACTGATATAAAGAGAAATGATGTCAAGAAGATCTTGGAAGATGCCAGGGCTTTTTTTGTGTGGTCTGGTTTGTTGTTGACATTTGGTTTGGTGTTTTTTGGATTGGTTTGGGCTTTTTTACATGCTTTGTCATTCTAGTTTGCCTCAAAGACGCCTCAAAGACAAGGAAGAGTTTCACACCTTGCTAGGTTATTTATAATCTCAGTTCTCTTTAGTGGTAGATACTTGGAAACAAATTGAAACTTCCATTTCAGATACTTTTAATTTTGCTGCTAGGCTGCCAGAACTATTAGGTTCAGTCCAGGTCTCCAGTGTATTTGCAGCTGTAATTTGGCTGGCCGAAGAATTTGCTGCTTATGCAGCAGCATAATTAACTGTATGTACGTCATTTTAAAATGAGAAGAAAAGCCAAGTCTAGCTATAGCATAACTCTGATATTGTAGTGCTGCTTTGGACACGACTGAGGGAGAATTTTTGTTTCTAAAAGTAAACCTACAACCAGAAAATACAAGGTCAGGAGTCAGATTTGGTAGAAAATGGATGTTAGTTACAGATGGATACAAATGCATTTCTCATGCTAGCTAGTTGAGTAATTCTAGAAACCTTTCCCCATCTCCTATTCTCTCCCACCCCCAAATTTAAACTCTAGCCTTAATTGTTCACAATCAGAATCAGGAGTCTTGCTGAGAGGTGAAGCAACTTGTTCAATAGGATGAGAAAAGAACACCAAGGTTGTTCTTTCTTATTTACTGTTTTAAAACTTAAAATGCTCTCCTGAAGAGGGAGAAAGGACTTCTTTCAGGATAATATTTTAGATAACTTTGTGTTCTTTGTTCAGAATTCAATTTTCAGACATGCCTCAGAACTTAAATTGTTATTGTTAAGTCGCCTGTAGCTTAATTAGTGCTAATTGGTTTTGTGATTGGCAGATTTGTTAATAAAATATCATTAAACATGTTGGAACACAAGTACAAGATGAGTACACATCTAGTTCTTATCTTCATTATTAGATTTATTCTAGAATTCCCTGAACTAATCATGAAACACTTATTGCTGTTAGTCACATTGTTCAGAAACCTGAAAGTGTTCAGATGGTGGTTTGGTTTTCTTTTATGTTTTTAAAATACAAATCTGAGATGTAAGTTTCTGGGGAAGAATGCATATTAACATAGTAAGGTGTTAAGATTTAATATAGTGCCTGAAACCACTCTGATTTCTTGATTTATGGTATTTGGAAGTTAATTTGCGTCTGCCATGACACAGAATTTTGAAGCCTTTGCTACATCTCTTTGGCTACTCCTGTGGATGCGTGTGTACAAGTAAAGCATTGAGCTAAATACTGAAAGATGATTTCTGGTTAATGGTTGTCTGGGGTAAAAGTATTCTCTTCTTGTGTATGTAATGTGGTATGCAATTCTGGAGGTATTTTTACTTACATTTCATTTTCTTCTTGCAGTTAAAGCTGGAGGTATGAGAGTGTCTAAAAAGCAAGAAAATGGACCTGCTGAGAAAAATGCTAAACCTCCAGGAAAAGACAAGTCAAGGTATTACAAAGCAAGGTCTGTTCACCCTTGCCCTGTAGTTCAAGTTCATAGGTAATGATCTTTGAAAACAAAGAAAACTCTTATTCTACAAGAGTTTAATTCTTAAATTAACTTGTGCAATTTATATTGAAATAAGTATCAACTTTAAAAACCCCAAAACCCAGCAACATCAAAACCTAAGGACAGTGCCTTGCAATGAAAGGCAAAGGCTGAATGTCATGTCTGTTGTCATGTTTTATGGAACAGAAATTATAACAACGTATTCCATACCTGTGCCTAATAAAGGAATGGTCAAACAGTTTCCAATGAAGTAGGAATGAACTTTAGGCTGTTTAATTCTGAAGGAAATTAAACCCACATCAACTACCCCCAGGGAAGAGTCTTGTATCCTGTATAGGCTATACTCCCTATTTCAATCTAAAATCTAATTTGGCTTTTGTTGTTTGCTACTTTATAAAGTTAATCAAGCTGTTTTGCCCCAAAAATTAAGGCATGCTTCTATTTTTTATTAAGTAACACTGACCAGTTGATGTGGTCATTAAAACAGGTATTTTCTTGCAGTTTTTTCAAACACTGAACATTTTTCCTAAATACATGCACTTCTTAAAACTTAACAAAAAGTTAAATTAACCAATATAAGGATATGACAGTAAAAATTTGAGTGACTTGTGGTGTCCCTGAAGTTTTTGATTTTTTTGTTGTTTTCTTCTGGGATTAAAAGCTTTTTATTTTCACTTGTTGCCAATTGTCCGGGTGTAATTTTGCAGCTGTCTTTTCCATAGTCATAGTTACCTAATGGTATAAACAAATCTTAAATAGCTTATATTTGTCAGTGTAGCAAACTGTCGATTCCTAAATTGAAAAGTCTTGCCTGATCCACAGACTCATTAACTTAAATAAAGATATATCTGCTTTTTCAAGAGTCACATTTATGGTATTTGGGGCTTAGCATGGTTTTTCCCTACTCCGTTTTAAGGTGCAGATGTGTCAGTGGATATAGTGGTATCATCAGAAGAATGTGCCATCTGGGTTCCTCCTGTTGTTGAAGGATCTATTTTCATATCCACAGATTTGTTTATTTGTGGAATATTAGTAACATGGTGTTATTTATTAGAATATTGAGAAATTAATGGCATAATCATGTGAAAAAGAAGTTCTTGCTTCAAAAGAAAATTTTTTGCAGATCAGGGTATAACTGCTCAGCTTCTGAGAAGTTATTTCACAGTGTACAAAAAAAATCCTTTTGGAGATATTAAAGGATATTTCATATACAGTTTTTTGTATATCTGGATAAAACAACCTGTCACACAGCTTTTCTGTTGTTCCAGAAACAGCATGCCTTTTTTGGTATTATATAGTTTTTAATGTGATGAAAAGATTTAACTCCAAATCCTAAATTGATATTGCAAAATGTCTTGTATTAAATGTGGAAAATGAAAGTGACAAGTGCTCAGGTGTTTCTGTGATGTGGAAATGCTAAATACTTTTTTCTTCTACTTTACAGTGCTATTGTCAGTTTTGCAAAACCTCAGAACATGGGTGTCTTGGTAGCAGAAGCACTGAACAAAGTAAGTCTGGAAGAACAAGTTAGGGTTTTCTCATAAATCTAAACATGAAAAAGAGTTAAAAAGTGAAGTTTCCTTGAATTGGTGTCTGGCAGTTGCAGGTGTTTCATATGCCACGAAATGTTCTTGGGATAACTATTTCTGTAGTGGCTGTGTGGCTGAGCTGCTAGATGGCTAAAAAGTACCTGGCCTTCTCTCCTTACTGTGATTCCACTCCCAGTTACTGTGTGCACACCTGTGCAGAGAAGCACGGCCAGGCCATGAGGTGTGTCCTGCTTGTAGAGTGGCGTGGTGCATCAGCTTTAGTGAAATACAGGGAAGGATTACCAGTGGCATCTAAGTGTCTGGCCCAGCTGGGATTACAGTGCAGAGCAAAACCTTGTCTTCAATGCTTCATCCCACCGTGGAAATCATTCTGACCTCTGTGAGGGTCCAGCAGAAATACAGAGCTGCTTGAGGGACTGGGTGGCATGACTGGCAGGTGCAGGGCACACCAGGATGGTGATGCAGTGTCCTGCCTGTGAATGATCCCCACTGAATGATCAGAGACAACAGGCACAGCATGTCCTACTGCTGCCCCATATCTTGTGTTTCATCTGAGGCCTGACATGGCTCAGTCAGGCACCTTTTGATTTCTCCCTTAGGAATACTGCGGGATCCTGTACAATCCTGTATCCCACAGCTGCTAAGGGACCCTTCTGTTTATCACAGCTCCTGTGATAGCCCTGTGTCTCATTAGGCTGCTGGTGCAGACTTACAGCTGCCCTTTGGAAGAGCTGATATCACAAGCAGCTCTTTGGTTTGCATGGTAATCTTACTTGTTAACTCTGGAATACCAATTATTTGCTGTGTTTTCCTTATCTTGGAAGCTCATTCTATGAACTACTGAACAAGGAAAGAAGAAAAAAGTAAAAAAATCTCCTAAAGGTAGTCAGACTAATATCACTTTAAAACCAGAAATTATAACTAAATATACCAAGTTACCTTGAGTTCTATGTATTGATCACTTGAACTTTTTGTGGGTTTAGGTTGTACTGCTCCTTTTAAACTACTTTAATAGGATGAAATTAGAAAGAGAAAAGCTGAAAAATCTGTATTCTATCACAACTTTTTTTTCTCCCCCCTTTAATGTTACAGATGAGCCACAAAATCCATGCAGCAACATTGCAAGTGGCTCACCAAAAGCCACAGCCTACCTTGGAGAAGTTCATACTGCCTAAAAGAATTTACATTATTCAACAGCCACGGAAATGTTAAGATAATCATTTAAATACTTATGTTTACTTTAAAGTTTCACTTAGCACACTGTGGTGAAGTGCTCAAAAGCTGTGTGCCTTGTATCTTGCTGTATTTGTTACTGACAATAAAATGTAAGAAGAGTTACTAAATGTACTCAGGATTTATTACAATATAATGGCTTCTCTGTAACCTGGTGTTACTGGTATGTAGTAATTACTCAATGCCAAAAAGTCTAAGATTCACTTACTGTGTGA